TTGGTTATGCATTTCAGGTTATTGCCATCTTACACTTTCAGGCCTCATGTTAGGCCTTTTAATTGGTCAGCAATAAGACCGTATACAGGGGGGGGGGGTTAAATTTTGTATTATGTGCCAGGGCTGAATTGTTTATATGAAATTTTACATATGTGAAATTCTGCAATCAAACCCCTTTTTTTGGTGTTTTTAGTTTAAAATGGAAAATTAAGATTTTGAGACTGAGAGGACTGCATTTCCTGTTAACCAAACTTCCTCAACGGAATCTAACAGAATTCATGGTTTGAAATATCTAAGGTCTCCGATCTATTGAGTTGCAAAGATAAAAGGATTAGAAAATCAGTGTTAGTGTTTTAAATATTGGGTAAAATAAAAAAGTCAAAAATAGTAAAGCGGCGTTCTTAAGTCTTAAATTCTTAAATCGGTCACGGACACACAGACACAAACATACTTTATTTATATTCATATTTCCCGCAAACTAATTATAACCTAGCTAAGAACATTTCTTTACTTCACCGAGTTCACTCATCAAAATTTGAGATAAATCGGCATTTAAGGGTGTTCGCATATACAGTCTTCGGCGATTATATCAATAAAATAAAGACGACTTTTAATTAACAATGCTTTAAATTACAAGTAAACAAAGAGAAGCTGTTAATTGACAATATCTTTTGTTTACATATTAATGCGTCCTCCTGTTCGAAAGCTTGGTAAAAATCAAAATTGAAAGTAGTCTTTATATATTGTTTTATACGACGCAACTAATGTTTTATAAATATATAAAATATATCCCCCCTTTTCCTCCCTCTCTTGCTTCTCTTACAGCGCGGTGTTATAATAGATTAAAAAGATATTTTTTTTCTCAATAAATTTGCAGTTTTGCAATTTTTATGTCTATACCCACCATATGTAATATGCATACAAATATAAAATTTATAAACTTAAATAGTTATTTTTTAAAACAACTCAACTTATCAAGATATGGTTTTTGACAATAACTATAACTTAGAAGTATAAGCGCCAAGGATTCAATCCTGTAAAAAGGACAGGGTTTGCTCGAAAAATACTTCCGGATCCTCAATGCTATGTTCGGCAGCTTCCGGGTCATCATGGCTAGCAACTGACTCAATCAAGGAAATCCTAAAAAAAATAAACCTCCAAAACTTTCTTAAAATGGTCACCCTAGATTACTTGTGTCTCATGCTTAGAATGAAAAGTTCATTAAAATCTATTTAATAAATTTGAATTTTTGTAAGAAAGTTTTTGGAAAAAAACCTCGAAATAAAAACTTTGGAAAAAAGTCCGAATCGAATTTTATCCAGTCCTTGGAAAAAATGTCACTGGAAATAAAGTCCTGTGTTTTGGATTCCTGGGACTTTTTTCCTAAAATAGTATGGAGGCTGCCAATAAAGTCTCAGGAAATAAGATCCCAGGAAAAAAAGTCCTGAAGAAAAGAAATCCGAGGAAAAGAAAAACCTAGAATTGTGAATCATGCATTTTCACTTGTTAGAGGATTTTTTTCTGAGGTCTTTTTTGTATAAAATCAGACTGGAGCCAGAAATAAAGTCCTAGAAAATAAAGTCTCGAATTGGTAGGACTGTATTTCCGGAGACTTTTTAATAAAAGGACTTTTTTCCACAGGACTTCTTAGTGTGAAATTTTAGGACTTTTTTGGCGGTTACCATAAATTTAGCTTGTCTGTTTGTTTGTTTGTATCCAATAAACGTCAAAACGGCTGAACCGATCAGGCCTAAATTTTGTGTGGATCCTCACGTGACCCTAGGGAAGGTTTATGAATGAACAAAATTAAAAAAATTTACCTCCATCAAAATTCTATTTTCATAAAATATTTGAAAATTTTTAAAATCCACGAAATTTGTTGTTGAAATCCGTCAACTTTTTTTGTTTTGTTTCAAAACGTACACAAAGAGACTATGTTCACAATTGAAATAGAAGATGGGCGCGAAGCGTCCTAAAAGCCTAGTAATTATTAAATGAGCCAGTGCTTCAATAATAGAATTTGAATCCAAATTGTAACAACAAAAAAATGCTAAAAAATGTAAACGCAAAAAGACCACTTTAGTATGGTTGTTTGGAGTTGCTGAAATAATGTCAAAGTGACGAGGCTGGAACCGATTCACCAGCAAATATATGTAAGTTATTGACTATGTTTATTTATTTTTAACATTGATTTTGCAATTAATATGAAATATTCTCATAGGGGCACTGGACCTCTTTTTGTGCATTCAGTTAAAAGTGTTACAGTTTACAATTTGAGTATAGATCACAAAATTCCCCTCAGATTTCGGAAAATTGCTTCTTGAACTCCTGTTTCAGATGGAAAAATGAAACTATTAATTGGTTATAGAAATTTGTGCTTCTTTAAAAATGCGTTTTTCTGAAGTCACAAAATAAAAATGTAGAGCCTTCTATATGGCCCGCACTACACCAAAAATCATCAAATTATTGAGATAAATGAGGAAAACTATGTATTCATTTAAAAATTCAATTTTTTTATAATTAAAATTAAGTTCCTGTAAAAAAATGTCTCGTTTGTTGTAATTAAACCGCTTTCTTCAATGCAGGGAAAACATAGTGACGGAACTTTAACTGCCCCAAAAATCTTTTGAAATTTTAGTTTCATTCTTAAAAATTGAAACAGTCTTGTATATAGACCAATTCTGAACCCAAACCCAGTCTCATGGAAATGCTTTTATACCCGTTAAGAAGAGTCCTTTGTCCTTGTTTACATTTTAGAAATGAATCCCCCATTTTGATAAAAAAAAAAACTGTGTAGGCCCCTGATTAAATGCCCGGTCGGAAAGAACTCTTTCTCAACCCAACTACCAAGTATATCTATCTATCTATCTATCTATATATATCTATATATCTGGCTGTCCATTATGCAGCTTCTTGTTGCTAGGCGAGGAATGATAAATATAGAAAGTCATAGAAGACCATGGAATTAGAATACACGCGCCACGGGATTGATCAAGGAGAGTAGAATTGAAGAGGGAAGATGGGTTTATTTCTCTTTTGCCGTGACATATGACAGAATTAAGATTAAAGGTAACCAATCACGTTTAGAAAATTCCCCGTGCAAGGGGGGGAGGTGGACTTTCTATAGATTTTCCGATCCACTGGGAAACAAACTGACACCCCCCCCCCCACGAGTTAAATTTTTTTACCCATTTTTTAAGCCAAATGTTCACGTTAAAACTTTATATTTTGTTTTTGCTAAATTTTCATTCCTCACCACTGCAAATGAGAGTCACAATTAGCCATTATTTCTTCCGAACACAACCTTTTTTCATTCGGGTGTATGCTTATTTTGTGTTTTCAGATGTGTTTTCTTTGTCCTCCATCACTTTTTTCAAACTTAGGCAACGTCGTGGTTTCAATATGATTTGATTTTGTTTAAAATGCATTTTGTTCGAACAATAAAACGATATTTTAGAATTCACACAAAAACTTAACCATTTTTCGTCCGGACCACACACTTCACAATTATTTTCTTATTTTACTCGTAAGGTGAAAGTCGCTGACAAATTTTAGAATCATACAACTAATATTAGCATTATTTTGGTAAGAAGCCTAGCAATTGGTTATGATTTGCTTGATCTTGCGGTATTATAAAATCAAAATTTCCATGAATTGTGTAATGCCTTATGAACCTTAATAAGATATTTTTCTTTAAAAAAGAATTAAAAATAGTATGACGTTGCTCAAAATTAGAATAAGATAAAGTGCTTAAAAACAGTAATGTAAACAATGCCAGACGAAAAAAGGTGTGGCGTGCCTTCCTTCCCTCCTCTGTATTTATGTTGTAAAAATAATACATTTCGAAAAATTTCCTTTCGAAAGTTATTGAGGCTTAAATCTTCCAATCCGTGTACATCCTTGAAGTCATCTCTGGATTGTTTAGCTGACTGACACGTCTGTTGACCCCTATGTAACCCATTTGCTTTTCATCAGGATTTTACATTTTCCTATTATGCATTAACTTCTTTGCTGACATAAACAAATTAAATTCTTGAAATTATTTTTTTTTTGGGGGGGGGAATCGTTATTAAAATCATTATTAATATACAGGAACAGGTTTACACACAAAGGATAAGACAGTAAAGACGACGTTAACTCTTCAAATATGACGATTCTAAGTTGAATTGAAGTCTTCTGCTTTAAATGTGGTCTTTAGATAGTAGAAAGTAGAAAAGAAGTATATAATTGCGGGGAATAATGAATTTGAGGAAACAATCAATATAAATTCCGTACAGTCGTCAATCCTGTTTATGATTAAGGTTATTCTCATCGAAAAGAGCTAGAAAAACTTAACGAAAACCCAAACATAAATCTAAAGAGATAGAAACCAGGCCGTTGCATAAAATTGTAGCAAAATTAGTAAATTCTTATAAAGTGAAACATAAAGTGAAACCCTTAATAACGAATACATGGAAAGAATTCATCAAATGTCGTATTCTTCACTTTTCTGATAATGGAATGTTGCAGATATTTCGTTTTTAATTAAATGATTATATGGAACTCTTTAAAACTGTTCCCGCATATTCATGCCTATTTATTTATTTTCGCAAATACTGAAATTTGCGTAATTTAGTATAAAACTCATTGAAAAATTGTCGAGACGACATTTGATAAATTCTTCCGATGTAATCGTTATTAAGGGTTTCACTGTATAAATTTGGCTTGTCTGTCTGTCGGTTTGTATCCAAAAAAGTCAAAACGGCTGATTGGGCCCCAATTTTTTGTGACCCCAGGGAAGGTTAATGAAAGATCAAAATTAAACAAATTGTTTTAAGTTTTTAATTTTTGAATTTTTTTTTTAAAATCTTAAAAATCCGCGAATTTTCTGTCAAAATTTTAACATTTTGTTCTTTTCAATGTTTTCAATGAAAACATGTTCACAATTGAAATAGAAGATGGGCGCGAAACGCCCTAAAAGCCTAGTAAACTAAAAATTCGCCAAGCCTATCAGAGTAAAATATACTTTATGTAATATGTATTTTATAAATCAATAATCAGAAATAACAAAGTTAAGAGATTACACAAATTATGTTATGAATTGCCATCTTAATCCCTAAGTAGTGCATAAAAAATTTACAAAAAAAAAATAAAATGTTTAATGAAGGATTGTGGCGACTAGCACAGATAACCTGTGAAATTTGAATTTACACAAATCAATTCTGAGTCCGGATTTTATGAATAGCAATTGTTAGCTGAACTATGTTTGAATAGGTTAAAACTATATAACTAGTAGAACCTTGGCAGCACTAGACAGTTAGTTTAGCTACCCGTACCATATTGAACTACTTCTCGCTATTCATTAATACCGACCTCTCAATCTATTTTACAGAAAACGCTTAATCTTTCCATTGGATTGATCTGCGAACTATATCTGGACAGATTCAGTTGAACTCATTCTGTTCTTAAACCGATCATTTATGATTTACAAATCTCATGATATTTAGGGTAATCTTGTTGCGAGAAGAGACTGAGTTCAGCTAATCCGCTCATTTAAAAGTTACAAGCTCTTATCATCATATTTGAGTTTCGGATGAACGGATATCACCATTCTAATAATGATTTCATTTCATTTTGAACTACAAAAGAGAACATTAGAAATCATTTAGAGGACAGAAGAGGACGTAAAAGATCAAATTACAAGGAAAAATAAGGTCTTTAAAAGGACAAGGGGGATAAATCTGAAGGACGAAACGGAACATTAATAGAACGAGAGGGACGTCCAGAGAACGAGTATCAGCCTCTAGGACGTCAAGGATCAATGAGAGATTGTCCTCAGCCTCTAAGACGTGAACGATTTATGAGAGATTGTCCTCAGCCTCGTAATCCAGCATATCTTCATCCTCTAGGTTGACAACAACCTCCTCAACCTCAACAACCTGGATATATACAGCAATTTAATATCGGGATCACGATCACAATGAAAGGATGATACTATGAGGATATGAACAACAATTTTTAAGAAACTTTTTTGGAATTGATGATTCTTCCTCACTTCATCATGAAGTTCATAATGAACGTGCTATAAAATAATCATCGTGCTATAAAGATCAATTAGCTGTAGATTATAGCACGTGTGCTATAAAGTTTTGATTGGTTCCCGGATTTTCTTAAAAAAATTTAGAATGTTTCCAAAATATTTTTTTTTCAAATGAAATGAAAATCAAATTTAATCAACTTTATGTTTTGACTTCTGCTTTGTTTCAAAGCTTATTTGATCTGGAAATAGCCATTTAAATATGACACAAACGTTTCATAAAATTACCTATAACACTATTATTTTGGCACGACGTGCTAAAACACTGCGAACCAAAATAAAGGTGTTATAAATAGTTAATTAAGATTATGATCATGTGACAACATTTATAGGAGGGCATGACCGTTAAACCTTTATCTGATCAATAATGTGCGAGATATCGCCGTTTTAAAGCTTGACAATTGTTTAATTCTGACAATCAACTCCATTGTTTCTATAAGCAGATATCCGCAAGTCACTTATAAGATGTAAGAGGCAATAACAATTGATAATTACAAAGCTAGAAACAACATTGATAATTAATGGATATATTATTTTAATCAGAAAACCCACTTTATGTATCTATATATATCTCCGTTTGTCTGTTTGTTTGTCTGATCATAACTTGGGAACCCTTGGACCGAATTGTCTCAAATATTGATTGGGGAACTCGGGAGACCCACGGGAATGTTCTTATTTTGGATTTGAGATTCTAAGTTGAATAGTAAAAATTAAGTTTTCCGGTAAAATCGTTCAAGTGCGGGTAAATGGCGGAAGTAAGTTTTAGTAACCTGGGCAGCACTGGGTTCCCAAGTTAGTGTTTATATAATGAGGGTTACATAAAATACTATTTACAGTCACTTAAAAATTTCCCTCTCAATAGTAAGACGGAAGAACTGACTAATCAGGATTAGGATCAGGATCAGGATCAGGATCAGGATCAGAATCAGGATCAGGATCAGGATGCGAGAATGAGGATCAAGATGCCGATGCGAGGATGAGGATGAGAGGACGAGGATGAAAGGATGAGTATGAGAGGATCAATATGAGAGGATGAGGATTAAGATGAGGATGAGGATGCGGACGAGGACGAGGATGAGAATGATGTGGATAAAGATTTGAATGAGAGGATGATGATGATGATGATAAGAGGATTAGGAGATAAGGATGAGGATAAGGATGAGGATAAAGATGAGGATAAAGAGGAGGATAAAGAGGAGGATAAAGATGAGGATAAAGATAAGGATAAAGATGAGGATAAAGAGGAGGATAAAGAGGAGGATAAAGATGAGGATAAAGATGAGGATAAAGATGAGGATAAAGAGGAGGATAAAGAGGAGGATAAAGATGAGGATAAAGATGAGGATAAAGATGAGGATAAGGATCAAGATGAGAAAGAGGATAAGGTTCTAGATTAGGGTGAGGATAAGGATCAAGATTATGGTGAGGATGATGATTAGGATGAGGATAAGGACGAGGATGAGGATAAGGATAAGGATAAGAATGAGGACTAACCTGTGTATCTGGTTGAATCAGTTTACTGAGAAGAAGATAAACTCTCTCCTCGTCATAGGAAACCTTCTCCAGAGCCAGGTAGAGGATACGTTCAGGTAGGTTCTCATTCATATACTAGATAGATATAGGTAGGTTCTCATTCCTATACTAGATAGATAGGTAGATACTCATTCATATACTAGATAGATAGATAGATAGGTTCTCATTCATATACTAGATAGATAGATAGGTTCTCATTCATATACTAGATAGATAGATAGGTTCTCATTCATATACTAGATAGATAGATAGGTAGGTTCTCATTTATATACTAGATAGATAGATAGGTAGGTTCTCTTTCATATACTAGATAGATAGATAGGTTCTCATTCATATACTAGATAGATAGGTTCTCATTTATATACTAGATAGATAGGTAGGTTCTCATTCATATACTAGATAGATAGATAGGTTCTCATTTATGTACTAGATAGATAGATAGGTTCTCATTTATATAATAGATAGATGGATAGGTAAATATTTATGAAGATCGAGGGCGGATTTTCAAAAAAATGAACTGGGCCATTTTAGTGAAAAAAATATTCTTAAAGTAAATGGAAAAAATGTTCGCGGTGGGAAAACTATTTTAGGTTTTTAGTTGCCTAGTTTAAACTTTAGGGAGAAAAATAAAAAAATTTACATAAAAAATATTAATAAGGTAAAAAAGTATACATAAAAGGGTTCTAAGAGGTGAAATTCTTAGCACAGATTTGATTGGTTAATAAGTCTTTTTGAAATATAAGAACAAAAAATTGAGATCTAAATTAATACCTTCGCTTTCACTTTCTTCTTCAACGCCATCTTTTCCTTCGGCGTTTTAGACGAGGGGGCAACAGCAATCTTGGGCAGTTCCTGGATAATAAATAAGCTTTTTTTGTTGCGATTTTTAATATTTTTCATTGAAGTTAAAAGGAGTGTTCGCGAAAAATGAAAGAGGGTATAGGCTTACGGCGAAAAATAAGCGCTTATAATCGCTACTAATCTTAGTTCTATCTGTTGCGTCTATTAGGACGTAGCATCCATAAAAATTCAGAAAGTTGCAACATTTAACTCGGATCGTAAAAACTCAGATTAATTCCAAACAACTCGTTTAGATATTACAACCAATAATAATCGATTATTTTTAGACGCACTCCTATATAGTTGATATTATTTCATAATAGTTTAAATTTTTTTTTCTGATCTGAGAGTTACTTTTGAAAAGATTTATTCCTGTTTCGAGGATTTTTGATAGTGAAGACGACATTTTCATATTTACCAGGAATTTGTTCGAAAATCCAGCGCAAGCGAAATATTATTAAAAAAAACAAACTCAAAAATATTATGATATATAAACTATAAAATATAAATATTTTGCGAACACTCCCTTTAAAGGGACTACAAATGTAATTAAAAATGACCCTCCATGCAGAGATAACAGTGACCGAATTACAACGGTACCATTGAAACCATCTGATCGATAATGTGGAAGAAATTATCGTTTTTCAAAGCGTAAACGTGTTCAATTCTGATGATTTTAAAATATATTTTCTGTTGTAGAAATGCACAAGTCATTTTTGTAGAGAAACCAGAATTGAATCAGTTTTCCAAGTATGGATATCTAGTTTAGACAAAGCTTTAAAAGGGTACCTTTGTCTTTGCACGTAGGGTCAGTTGTAATTTTGCTGACAGTCCCTTTAAATGGTAAGTTTTCATCTCTACTATTGATCAAAAACGACGCTTCTTAACTAAAAGCCAAGCAAAGACTGAAAACAACAGAATGGCTGAATTTTTTAAGTTTCTAAACAAAGTTAATAAAACTATCTCTTCTCAGATTAAACTTATTAATAAAATAACATTCGTTGAATGCCATGAAGGGTCTCTGGGGGGAGAGTGTTCTTATTCCTACCTTTAGTTTAAGGGCTAGTTTAGCGACCAGATTATTTGGGGTTTTCACAACTAAACTCTTTCCAGTTTTATTAGCTTCAGCTCCAGTTTTGCTCCTAGAACAGGGGTATATATTTTATTCAATTTTCTTAAACTTCAGATATCTATTTTTACGTTCGATTTGAATCCCCTTGACCGATTTGCCTCCAATTTTAGTTGGGAATGGGGAGAACCACGGGATTACCATGTCAGTTATGCATAATGGAGGTGTATTTTAAGAAAAATTGAACTTTCGGGTAAAAGCATAAGAAATGAGGGAGAACATTTTTTTACCTTGAAAATATTCGGGGAATAACCAATATATTTATTTCGCTAATATCCAATAAACGTCTAAACGTCTGCACCGATAGGGCTCAATTTTTTTTGTGGTAACTCAAATGACCCCAAGAAAGGTTTATGGACGAACAGAATTTCAAAAATGTTGGTGGGAAGAAATGTAGATATTTAATGTTTTATAAAATTAATCAATTAAATTAGAACATTTCGGAACAATTTTTGCTTATTGCGAGAGTATGATTAAATATGACGACTTGAAAAGCAACAGTAACAGCTAAAAGTGTCAATAAAAAGAACCTAGTCAATAAATTCACTTTGCGTGTCTGTTTGTTTGTTTGTATCCAGTAAATGTCTCAGCGGCTGAACCGATCGGGCCAAATTTGTGAGGGGCAATTCACATGATTCCAGACTGGTCTAAGTAGAAAATTTTTGACCGAAAAATAATTCATTTATCAATTTTGAAAATGCACAAATTTAAATAAAAAATCTTCAAAATTTTTAGTTTTACAATAACGAAGAGAAAAAGTCGAATTACAATCGACAGTTATAAACTAAAATTGTAACTAGAAGAAGGGCGGCGCGAGAGTAACAGAAAAAAGAAGAGCGAGTTCTGTTTTAATTTTAGTGTGACGAATTTGGACAGAATTGATTCTACTTGAAGTAATATTACAATTTTAAACAATTTACAAAAGGATCCATCCCAGACCTATCCTATTACGTCATTGTATAAAACATGCCAGAGGTATAGATAGTCTAGAAAAGTACTACGTTTTCGGGGACTTGAAAAATCATTAATTCTTTCGAATTAGAAGTTTTTAAAAAAGTTATCGTCTTACCTCTTCTTAATTACTATTTTGTCGAGGTCAACTTCTTTACTCGCCTCCAAGTCCTTTTTCAAGTCCTCCTTTAGGTCCTTCTTCGAGTCCTCCTTTGGGTCCTTCTTTAGATCCCTTTTCTTCTCTTCTACATCCATCTTCTCCTCCCCAGCTTTCTTCTTCCTCTCTTCTTCTTGCAGTTTCAATCGGAGCTGAATAAAAAATATTGCAGATTAATTGATTTGTTGGTTGATGGGACTAGTTTGATTTCATGGATTTATTCGTCCTTCCTTCCTTCGTTCGTTCGTTCGTTCGTTCGTTCGTTCGTTCGTTCGTTCGTTCTTTACATAAAATGATAAATGAAAAAAATTTCTTTGAATAAAATTGTAATTTATAACTAGGAGGTCAGATTTTTTTAATAGCGAGAATAAATTAAACGGATTCTCTAGTTTAACTAGTTAAACTTGGTTGAACTACGTCAATCAAATTTTTAAAAATATTAATTCATTTCAGCTTACCTTAAGCTGTCTTTCTTTCTCCTTCAACTCTTCTAATTCTTCATCTATCTTCTCAAACTCCCCCACCTATATATATATTTATATTCTATCTTCTCGACCTCCCCCACCTATATATATATTTATATTCTATCTTCTCGACCTCCCCCACCTATACATATATTTATATTCTATTCTATCTTCTCGACCTCCCCCACCTATATATATATTTATATTCTATCTTCTCGACCTCCGCCACCTATATATATATTTATATTCTATCTTCTCGACCTCCCCCACCTATATATATATTTATATTCTATCTTCTCGACCTCCCCACCTATAGATATATTTATATTCTATCTTCTCGACCTCCCCACCTATATATATATATTTATATTCTATCTTCTCGACCTCCCCACCTGTATATATATATTTATATTCTATCTTCTTGACCTCCCCCACCTATATATATATTTATATTCTATCTTCTCGACCTCTCCCCACCTGTATATATATATTTATATTCTATCTTCTTGACCTCCCCCACCTATATATATATTTATATTCTATCTTCTCGACCTCCCCAACCTATAAATATATTTATATTCTATCTTCTCGACCTCCCCCACTTATATATATATTTATATTCTATCTTCTCGACCTCCCCAACCTATATATATATTTATATTCTATCTTCTCGACCTCCCCCACCTATATATATTTAATTATCAGTGCCCCGGATCCATTTAATTTTGATACGGATATAGATCCTGGATCCGCTCTAAGAAAAAAGGGATCCCTAATCAGATCCGGATCCGTGTCATTCACAGTTTTCCCTTTTTAATAGCTTATTTATTTGCTGAAACTCAATGAACCATTCAGAGACAATGCAAGTTTTCATACTTGACAGTAGTTTACAGTTTGGGCGTTGAAAGCAAAACTTTTCCGCAGCTTTGGCTGGTTCCGGATATTCTTTCGGATCCGGATCCTAGGCACTGATAATTTTATCTTAAATGTGTTTCATTTAATCATAAAATTACAGACTTAGGGCTTATGATCCGGGTTCATTGGATCAACAATTAGTCTTCAAGGATCAGTTATCCAGATTCGTAAAAATATGCGAATTTAGAAAGTCATCTAAGTGGCAAATAATAAATATCAAAAGCGCGTTCACAAAAAAACACGGATTTTTTTTCATCTAAAAAAAAATAATAAAATTTTGGAGGAAGTTCAAATGGACTATCAATTTTTTTTGTTTAAAGTAACCCTCCATTCACAGAGTGGCATGTCAAATTCAAAACGGTACCCTTTAAAGTTTTGACTGACCTAGTCCTAGTGAAAAATAAAACTATAATAATATCAATATTAAGAAAAATAAGGAAATTAACTGTAACTGAAGAGAACTGGGAGAAAGAAAAAAACCCATTTACCGACTTATAAGAAACTGATTTGTCAGAACTTTTGAAGCCTAAGCTGATCTACAGTGAATTGGTGCAGTTTTTGGTAATAGTTGGTAAATTTGTATTGTCTAATTTAAAAAAAACTAACAATTGATATAAAAACGTCTAATATCAATGTCTATTTTATGAGAACGATTTTTTTCAGTTCGTTCGTTGAAATGTTGAAATAAAAAAAAAGTATCTTTGCCCAACACTGTTAATTGTATGTTTTAAAATTCAGCCTCAGTATATTAATATGTTTGGTTATTTTTGAGTTTTTTTTTGGTTTCCTTTTACATCAGATATAAAGTCTTTTTTCGGTTTTCAGGTTTTATACCTCTTTCATTCCATTGCAACTACGTTTGCAAATAAACTCTTATTTACCTATTGCAGTTTTGTTCTTGTTCGCAAAATTAATGTAAAGATGAAAAGTCTGCAACTACGCTTGCAAAATTATTCGATAATGTTTTTGATAAGACCATAAAAGCAGCTCATTACAGCAATAGATAAGATATAATGAGAGAATTTTTCCTTCCATTTTTGCAAATGATGTATACCACTGTTGGTTTGTTCCTTTAATATTGAATAAAGTTGTTAAGAAGAAGAATAGTACTATGATGTATACTACTGTTGGTTTGTTCCTTTAATATTGAATAAAGTTGTTAAGAAGAAGAATAGTACTATGATGTATACTACTGTTGGTTTGTTCCTTTAATACTGAATAAAGTTGTTAAGAAGAAGAATAGTACTATGATGTATACTACTGTTGGTTTGTTCCTTTAATATTGAATAAAGTTGTTAAGAAGAAGAATAGTACTATGATGTATACTACTGTTGGTTTGTTACTTTAATACTGAATAAAGTTGTTAAGAAGAAGAATAGTACTATGATGTATACTACTGTTGGTTTGTTCCTTTAATACTGAATAAAGTTGTTAAGAAGAAGAATAGAACTATGATGTATACTACTGTTGGTTTGTTCCTTTAATATTGAATAAAGTTGTTAAGAAGAAGAATAGTACTATGATGTATACTACTGTTGGTTTGTTCCTTTAATACTGAATAAAGTTGTTAAGAAGAAGAATAGTACTATGATGTATACTATTGTTGGTTTGTTCCTTTAATACTGAATAAAGTTGTTAAGAAGAAGAATAGTACTATGATGTATACTACTGTTGGTTTGTTCCTTTAATACTGAATAAAGTTGTTGAGAAGAAGAATAGTACTATGATGTATACTACTGTTGGTTTGTTCCTTTAATACTGAATAAAGTTGTTAAGAAGAAGAATAGTACTATGTGCAGTTTTTTCTATTGATGTTTTTAAGAAAACATGTAATTGTAACTAAGATACAATTTCTCTGTAATTTTCCCTTGAAATGAGAACTATAGTCCTGGGGGGAGGGAGGGGGGTATTAAAAATAAAAATATCTATATTTATAAACTGGATGAACTACTGAATGGCCCACATTAACTGAAGATCGAGATGTTTTAAGTATCACACCAGTGATACAACAAAAATACAATAATTAAAATAAAATCCTCAGATAACTAACCTGGTCAAGCACCTTGAGATCGCCCTTGTTGCGGTCAACATGCCTCGAACTAAATAGTTAATACTTAAGTGGACTGTTCATGGTATTCTAAGTTAATACTTAAAGGGACTGTTCATGGTGTTCTAAGTGAATTAATATCCAAAGCGGGGTTCTTAACTTCTTACAAACGACAAGGAAAAAAAACTAAGTTATTTGAAGCACTTTAGAAACTGGGGTGAAAATCTTTTTATATAGTTTTGGTGATTTTTAGGTGTTTCGTTTTTTTTGAAAAAAATCTAGTTTTAAAATTACCTTAAAGTATTTTTAACCGTGACCGAGATATGTCCTCTTGAGCTTGAAGACCTAAAAATATTAATATTCAAAATGAATTATGGATTAATGGGCGACATCATATTATCTCCAGGATGAAAGGATTACTTGGTTAGACGCTGGGGTGTACAGTGCACAGTGTAATGTGTACAGTGTACAGTGTAATGTGTACAGTGTACAGTGTAATGTGTACAGTGTACAGTGTACAGTGTACAGTTTACAGTGTACAGTGTACAGTGTAATGAGTACAGTGTACAGTGTACGACAAACATAAATACATTTTATGGAGTAGTTTATTTATTCACTGCGTGCAATTCACAAAATCAGACTTTTTTGTTGTAAAAAAGGATATTTTTTGTGTTTAATTTTAAACTAAAAAATTCGAGTTAAAAAAAGAATATCAATTTATAAAAATATATACACGTACAATGTACATCCCATTTGAAAATAAATTGTTGAAATGATAAAATATAAATATTGCTTTGATATACCAATACGGTAATAACTTTCCAAATTAGTTTAAAGGAGATAATATGATGTCTTCATAGACACAAGGACAACCAAATTTGTTCAACCCCCCCCCCTTTCTCTCACCATTTATCCTAGAACAGCTCTTTTCCTTCTTTCAACTTCATCTGCTATTTTAGATCATTAATGCATCTTTAGTTCATCTTCTGAGTGTTGTAACGTACCGCATCTCAGAAGTGTTGTAACGTACTGCATCTCAGAAGTGTTGTCACGTATTGTAGATCGGGATTGTTGTAACGTACTGCATCTCAGGAGTGTTGTAACGTACTGCATCTCAGAAGTGTTGTTACGTACTCCATCTGAGGAGTGTTGTTACGTACTGTATATCAGTAGTGTTGTTACTTACTGCATATCAGGAGTGTTGTAACGTACTACATCTCAGTAGTGTTGTAACGTACTGCATCTCAGAAGGGTTGTTACGTACTGCATCTCAGGAGTATTGTAACGTACTGCATCTCAGAAGTGTTGTTACGTATTGCAGATCAGAAGTGTTGTTACGTACTCCATCTCAGGAGTGTTGTTACGTATTGCAGATCAGGAGTATTGTAACGTACTACTCAACAGGAGTGTTGTAGCGTACTGCATCTCAGAAGGGTTATAACGCAAAGAATCTCATAAAGGTTGTAACGTACAGCATCTCAAAAGGGTTGTAACGTACTGCATCTCAAAAGGGTTGTAACGTATTGCATCTCAGGATTGTTGTAACGTAATGCATCTCAAAAGGGTTGTAACATACTGCATCTCAGGATTGTTGTGATGTACACAAGTCCACAGTGTGATGTACATGAGTCCCTGGTTTGATGTACACGAGTCCACAGAGTGATATACATGAGTCCACAGAGTGATGTACATGAGTCAAAAGAGTGATTTATACAAGTCCACAGAGGGATGAACATAAGTCCACAGCGTGATGTACATGAGTCCACAAATTGATGAACATAAATCCACAGAGTGATATCTCATAAAGGTTGTAACGTACAGCATCTCAGGATTGTTGTAACGTACTGCATCTCAAAAGGGTTGTAACGTACAGCATCTCAAAAGGGTTGTAACGTACTGCATCTCAAAAGGGTTGTAACGTACTGCATCTCTGGATTGTTGTAACGAAATGCATCTCAAAAGGGTTGTAACGTACTGCATCTCAGGATTGTTGTGATGTACACAAGCCCACAGTGTGATGTACATGAGTCCACAGATTGATGAACATAAATCCACAGAGTGATATACACGAGTCCACAGAGTGATGTACATGAGTCAAAAGAGTGATGTACATAAGTCCACAGAGGGATGAACATAAGTCCACAGCGTGATGTACATGAGTCCACAAATTGATGAACATAAATCCACAGAGTGATGTAAATAAGTCCACAGAGTGATGTAAATAAGTCCACAGAGTGATGTGCATGAGTCCACAGAGGGATGTAAATGAGTCCACAGATTGATGTACACGAGTCCACAGAGGGATGTAAATGAGTCCACAGAGAGATGTGCATGAGTCCACAGAGTGATGTAAATGAGTCCACAGCGTGATGTAAATGAGTCCACAAATTGATGTACATAAGTCCACAGAGTGATGTAAATAAGTCCACAGACTGATGTAAAAGAGTCCACAGTGTGATATAAATGAGTCCACAGAGTGATGTACATGAGACCACAGAGTGATGTACATGAGTCCACAAAGGAATGTAAATGAGTCCACAGAGTGATGTAAATGAGTCTACAGAGTGATGTACATGAGTCAACATATTGATATACACGAGTCCACAGGTTTACGAACATGAATTTAAAGTAATGTACATGAGCCAACAGGGTCATAAACATGAGTCCACAGAGTGATAGTTTTAAGTAAATGATCCCACAGTTTACGTACATAAAACAACAGGGTTATGTACACTGTACAGGAGTCCACAGTTTTACGTAAATGAGTTAATAGATTTACGTACGAAGTCCACAGATGTATATACAGAAGTCCACAAGTTTATGTACATGATCCCACAGTTTTTGGTACACGAGTCCACAGGTGTTCCAAGAGTTTTGATTTGAAGATTTAAACTGTATTCCATATTTCTTTGCACATTACAATCACTGTACAGTGTACATATAAGTTAAATCTGTACAATCGTTGCATCTTTTCATCCACAACTAGTTAGATCAGTACTGTAAAAGTCCTTAGGTCTCCTGTGTAATATTTGCCGCCCGTTCTGAAGAGAATTTTCATATATTTCGATGCCCACTGTATACAGCACAAATGTTTTTCTTCGTGCTAATTAGTTTAAAGGAAGCAGCTGCAACTCTTCTTGTTACACTTGTACAACCCTTCCTCCCCCCCCCCCCCCCCCTCAGCATAACAATCCCCGCTATAAATACTTACACGCATAATATCTCTTGCTACTACCTGGGGTTAGAGTCCAAACCAAGACGAGATTTTACCGAGACCTTCCCTCCCAATCTCTGGAAAGCGCTGGGCTTCTGTCCTACTCTGTCCTGGATATGCCCGGACTTATTCGACACTGTTCGTCTTGTTCCCACACTTGGTCGCTTCTCAACTCGTCCGGAGTCAACACGCGAGTCCCGGGACGATACACGTGACTCAGGTTTGGGTAGAATTCCACGTGAGTTTCTTTCTCCAGTTCGATCATTTGATATTCTGGAAGAAGATACATGGGATACAGACGGCCTGGATCTGGATACAGATGATCTAGAACCGGATCCACCTGGCCTGGACCCGGTTCCATTTCTCCTGGATCCGACTACAGTGCTGGTCCCGGATACAGTATAACTATTGTATACACCAGAACGTCGCTCCAGGTCTAGTTGGATATCTCGCATTCTCTGCTCATCTAGCAATCTCAACTCTTCTCTCCGCCTTTCCTCTTCCAGACGGAGCAGCCTCTCTTCCTTCCGCCTCAGTTCCGCCTCGCGCATTCTTATTTCCTCTAGTCTCATTTCTTCTTTCCGCCGTAATTCTTCCTCTCTAATTCTAAGCTCCTCGGCGCGCAAAGCTTCAATCCGCCGTAGCTCAGCGAACCTTCTCTCCTCTTCCTTCCTTTTCATCTCCATCTTGAGGATCCTCTCCTTCTCCTCCAACTCCCTCTCCCTCCTGTTCAACTCCTCCAACCTTTTCCTCTTCTCCTCTTGCTCCCTCGCCCTCTCCTTCTCCTGCCAGATCTCCTTCTTGCTCTTCCCTGGCTCCGGCCAGTTCTCCAACCAGCTACTGTTCAACCCAGAGACAGGAACAGGAACTGGACCCTTGGGCGGAAACCTTGGCGGAGCCGGTGCTTGGAACTCCATCATAGGTTTATCATCATACCTTGATGGACCGAAATTTCGGGCCGGAGGGTCAACAAACATACGATCATTATCATATTCTGGTTTTGCATGCGTCGGGGGCGCACGCGCACTGCTTCTCCTACTACCCTCGTAGCGGATTCGATCGCGCTCTCCGCTTATCTCTGGTCTTCGCTCCATCTCCTGTCTGTTCCAAAATAAAGGGTCGGACCGTTGAACCGGCGGCGGAACCGGTTCTGATCCATATCCATATCCGTCACGGTGGGATGCCTACATTGAGAGAGAAAGGTTTTAAGAGAACCAAGGTGAAAAGGTTTTATCAGGGTGTTGGGTCCGTGTGCTTTATATCCATCCATCAATACTTATCTTTTTTTATATTTTTTTAAATTTCCATTTTTTAAAGTGTGTGTTGTTTGTTCTAATTTTGTCTTTACAAAGCGTTGTTTTAGTTTCTGTTCTAGGGTAGTTAAAAGGTTAACAGGTGGCAAAGATTATAAAAATCACCTATCTCACAAGAAGGTCAGATTCATGAGGAAGGTCAGATTGGGGGTCAAGATGAGACTCAGAACAAAGGTCAGATTTGGAGAGGTCATATTCTTAGTTAAGGTCAGATTTGTGGCCGAGGTCAAACTTAAACATAGTTCCCTGTCAAGGTCATGTATGGTCTTTGTTGAAGGTCAAAGTCGGATGGTTATCTGCAGAAGATCAGGGTTACGAGTTTATCAAACTCAAAGTTTAGTTTTAAAGCGTGAGATGTAAGAACAAATCCCAAAATAAAGATCTTTTTAATGATTCCTACCTGTCCTCCACCACCACCTCTGAGGTCAAGATCACGTGCTGGCATGAGGTCACGAGGTTGTTGAATGTTCCTTGAGGTCATGACCTCATCCCTGGGCCCGGCCACCTGACGGATATATCGCTTCTCTGCGCTGTTGTCCTGCAAAATAAGACGATACAAATATTTGATAAAAATAACCATAAAACCATGTTTTAGGGCCATAAATAGATATTGAGGGATTTTTTCCCGCCATTAAAGAAAATGAAAATATTCTAGTCAGCTGAAATTTTTAATATTTAAAAATTTATAATTTTTTTTGTAAATCCAATATTTCTTTTTCTTGCATCAAACTTTTTAAATAGTTCACTTTTTCTGGACGAATAATTTTGCGATAAAAATACAAAATTATTTTACTTCAAAATATAAATATATTTTATTTTATATTTATATTTTAAATCCCATTAATTGATAATTATATACATACTAAGTTAAACCGAGAGAAATGAGGAAATATTGATAATGTTTTATATTGAATTACATAAAATGAGAATTGGAAGAAAAATTTATCAAAAGAATACGAGTTTTAAGATAATAAATATCTTGGGTGAAATAAAAAGTGGCGCTTAGAAATTAATCATTAGGAAAATTTAAGGTGATAAAAATTTGTTAAAATGTTTACAAAAAATTGTCAATACCTAAGGTTGTGCTAAAAAATCTCAAGAATTGCTACTTTACCAAAAGTCACGTTTTAAACATTTAGAACTTCTAAATTATCTTAATCTTTATCATATAGTATCTATTTTTTATATTTGACGCAGAAAATTATTAGCAACACTTTAACCAAAAAACAAGACAGGACGCCGACGTACTTCTATAAACGCTTTGTTTACAAGTGTCGTTATAATAAAGTGTTATATTTCATATCTTAACTGAAAATAACATCAGTGGATTAATTGTAGAAGAAAATGAATGGTAATGCCCACTGGGGGGGGGGGGGGGGTTAAACCATGAAAAATATTATATACCCTATAAACCATAAGCCCTGTATCTAAATAAAAGAATTATAAAACCCAAAACTAAAAACTTGTATGAAACCTGTAGCTGAGAACTAAGATATCTATTATCTCCGGATCTACCGACATCTCCTCCTCCTCTTCCTCCTCCAACAGGTCCCCTACCACCTCCGACAGGTCCTCCACCCCCTCCAACAGGTCCCCTACCCCCTGCACGGACATCTAGGCCTCGATTGCTACCTGCATCGTGCCTGCAACATAAATTAAAAATAATACGTGGGACGAATTTAATATGTAAAAATCCCGAGCTACAAATAAGGAAATATTTAGATCAACTGGCCATTATACAAAAAAAAAACTAGAACTTAGGAATGAAATATAGATAGTTGTATATATTTAATTGCGAGGTATTGCCAGCTACTAAACAGTTGCATTTAATAACAATTTAGTAACATGGTTTGTTTTTCATTGATTTATTTTTCTTTATACAATGTTGTCCAATTTCATATCCATGTTAACATAGGTACAACTATTGGTCGTATCTATCTATCAACAATTCTACCCAAGGTTATAATGCAAGGAAAGTTATTTCAGAGGTGTATGCATCTTTTGTAATACAGTGTACTGTCTCTGGGCGGTAATGAAAACACAAGACGGATGACACAGCCTGACATGGGATCCATCTTTCACATAAAAAATCCTTGTAATTTTTTTTGGTCAAAGGAAACTATTGTGAGAATTATCACAATTATCAAATTTAATGCTTTTAACCTGCTCGGATACTAAACGAACACAAATGCATCTATTCTTGTTTACAAATTCCGCCCAGAGAGAACGGGTTTCAATATGTACGCAGAGTATACGCCACTGCAATTAACTTTTCTTGCATAATAACCTTGGTTCTACCTATGGTTGAACGTTTAAGAAATTGGCCATGTAGGACGGTCTTCATACGTCACATGTTGTAGATTGTAAATAAACCAAAGATAATATATATATAGATACGCAGGCAGGTAGAAACCTCCTTCCTAAATTGCTTGTAGCAGACAACTAATTTTTGTCCCTCTGAGATAAAGTGCAAGGAGAGCCATCTATCATAGCAAATTGATTACTTTCTATATTCCTTTCTCCCCCTGCTGCCATCAGTAGGAAATACGCATTTGTGTTATATAAACATACAGTACGCGTATTGCATCCTGTATAGTTCAAGTGTTGCTATCTGGACCTGTTTGACCAATAAAATTAAATTTCAAGGTAACAGAAACATACAGTACGCGTTTTGTTTATGTTATGATTAGTTGTACTTAGTAAAGATATAGTAGACAAACAGAAATATTGACAAACCTTTGGAAATTATTTTATATTTGTTAAATAAGTGATATCTATTTAATCAAACGGTTTTTATGAGATATTTAAATAAAATTAGATTTTTAATTGGTACCACAATTTGCAATTAAGATCTTGGGGTTGATGGTTTAAAGAATTATTAAAATTACTGTTTTTTATGCATGAATTCTAGTAAACAAGGCAAAAAAATTGCAACATTTTTTTGGAAGGACTTTTTCATACAGGTTGACAATCCTCAAGTCATAAGCTGTTTTAATGAGATTGTCTTTAATTTGTAATTTGTGTTGTAGTAATACTACGTATATGATATAGTTACATTTCATCTAAATATAAATTTGGCTTGTCTGTCTGTTTGTCTGTCTGTCTATTTGTTTGTATCCAATAAACGTCAAAACGGCTGAACCGATCAGCCCAATTTTTTTGTAGGACATCACGTGACCACAGGGAAGGTTTACGAATGATAAAAATAAAAAAAATGTGTTTTAAAGGTTTTCAATTTTGTAAAAAAAATTTAATTTTTTCAAGGTTATGATTAAGTCTTCCTCTACTCAATAACAACCTTTTTTCAGAAAACATGCCACATACTCATACAAAAAGATGTTGTGTATATAATTTTTCAAGCAACAACAGTAAGGATGAAATGAAGTTTTACATGTTTCCAAAGGACCCGAGTCAAAGGGAAGTTTGGAAAAATGTTGTAAATCGCCCTGACTATGCAATAAAAAAAAACAGTTACATGTGCATGTCACATGTTAAACTAATAGTAATTTCGTATTCGAGCGTAAGATTAAAATATATTGCAAAGGTTAAAAACCAAAACCTAAAAACAGGCCAAAGAACAAAACTGTCCAAACAAATTTTGTTCGCAAACCAGTAGAATTTTCATTTGTTGTAAACGTTTTTGATGAACTAGTTTATTGAAATACAATTTAAAATGTAACATTTATTTTCAAAAACCAAGCAGTCAGAGAGAAAAAGATTTAAATTAAAATTAAGTTTCTGGGTAACACAAACATACAGTACGCGTTTTGATTATGTTATGCAGTCAGAGAGAAAAAGATTTTAATGTTTTAGTCAAGGTGAACTTTGAAGACACCTTTTTCTAAAAATGTAGATGGCTTTCAGGGTCAAATTTTGATTTTTAACAGTCCAATGAACATAAAATACAGAAATTTTGCAGTGTAGTGGATTTTTTTTATATTTTAATCCTGAATTAAGTTTTTAAAAGCCATTGCATCGGCAAATTAAAATATGCAAAAATATTTGCAGAATTTCTTCGCAAAAGTTGTGAAATCGGCTTTCTTTTGTAGGCTTTCCAAAGAGTTGTAAGAAGTCAAAATCCAATGACCGGAAGTAGATCTAAATATAGATTTAGTCGGGTAAAGGTCAGATAAGGCATTCAGGCAATATGCCTGAAGACTCGGGCAGTAGGTATAAATCCCCACTTTGAGCCAAAAGTGATGGGCATGTGTTAGTTAGAAAACTCAAAAAGTTTGAAGAGCCTCAGACCAATACTATTATAGTCTCCAAAAATGTTAGGGGGAGGGTGGTAACCTAACCCCCCCCCAGCCAGAATTGGGCTAACTTTATTGCATAATAACAAAGAAAAGATTAACAGTCCCTTCCTGCATTTGTTTGCAGAATTTTCTATGAATTTGGAAAGTTTAAAGGGACTGTTTACTTATTTGGGTAATTTCATGGCAAATTTGAATTATTTAAAAAATTTAAACTATGGCTATCAAAGGGGATAATGGACTGGGGCTGGCTCATTTCTTTTTAATATACCAATCAAATTGAAGTTTTGAGCGCACCAAACCTAGGATCATTTTAGGAAAGTAATGGAGTTTTTTTTTGAGTTTTTGGGGTTAAGGGGGTGATGAGCCAGTTGTGAGCCATGAAGTTTTACTTTAGAACGTTTTTAAACAAATCCCAACCCTACTCTCTAGCACTAGAATTATATCATATCATATAGCCATGAAGAGCCAGGAGCAACCGACCATAGTAGTGTTGAATGAGATGTATTGTTCGACCAGATCCTGTCCGCTATTAGGACTTTGTCCTAGATTCGATGTACTTTTTAGTCATAATTTTTATTTAAATTGCGTTAATTTACGTATGCCATTCAGTACAACTTGCACATTTAAACTTTGTTTAGTCAAATTCCTACCTCAGTTTTATTTGCATTGATTAATTTGTTTCATTAATTACAATATGTAGTATACATTGTTGATACTATAGTACGCATTTGGTGTTATCACGCATAAACAAAGTGATAAATTAGCAACAATCCAGAGGATAAAATGCCATGCGTACGACAGAGATGGTGCTGGTCGCACTTTTTCAAAGACTTCAAAATTTATACCTGCCTGCGTATCTATAGCCCGGTTTCTTTGTCCGGTTCTAGCTATGATTTAGCTGCGACTTCCTAGCTTAGCTATGATTTTGTATTCGTTAGTCCAAAATCAGAGCAAGATCGAAGCTTAAGGTCCAAAAATCGTATACTAGGACAGACCCGACGATGTAATAATTTAACTTTAAATCATTTTCATCATTCACAATACATACATATGCATAACCGATTGATTAACGTTTATTTCTATGAGCCATTGGGCGGGCTCCTTAAATATATACGCATAACCATTTAGCTCTAAGCAATAAGCATGCTTTATTAGTAAAGAGTACTCGGAGAGGCAGCTGGAGTCTGGACTGGCACTGGCAGCCTATAACTTGCATTGCAATTTGCAGCTTTGCTTAGCTCGCCTCGCTAGACAAAAGTCTGGTTTAACTACCTGCCTTTACTTCCCCCCTTCTCTGTCCCACCTACCCAACCCCTACACTACGCTAACTTCTGTAACAAGTTATCAGAAAATCTCATAGTTTTTGTCATTTAGAAGACTCTGAAATTTTTTAAAAGCTGAGAAATTCCGCAAGATTTTTTGCGCATTTTTGTCGTTTTTCCGTGTTACAAGGTAAGTATTGTTTAAACCAATGAGAGTTAAGTATTTCTCTGTGCGATAACTTCAGACCAATCACAGTTGAGTATTCCTCACTACGAGACATTTCAACTCAATCATTTGAAATAACCAACTCTCATTGGTCTTAAATATTTCGTAATAAAAAAGTTTCAAAAATCAAATAACAACAATTCCTTAAACAATTTTAATTCTTTTCAATTATGAGTGTTTCCAAAGCTATTTGCTTGGCTTGGAACCAAATAGAAACAATAGGTATTTCATAATTTATATACTTTTGTAAAATAAATTCTAATATATATAAAATAAAATTGTGTCTTTACATTTTATATTTAAATTTTTAATATTTTTAACAGTGAAAAACAAAGTGGTGGAGAGAGATTTGATAAATGGAAACACATCAAGTCAAGCTCTGCTCAGGTATTTTTGAGTATTTTACATCGATATATATATATATTATATTATATATCGGAAAATTTGGAAGAAATATATATTTAAACATCTAAAATGTATATTTAAACTGAAAAAGTTGAAAATACTATATATATATAATATATATATATGTACCCAAAGATCCATGGATGAACCCCTTCAAATTATTAGGATTACATTTAAGTTTAGAATCGATGAAGGGGGAGGGGGGTTCTGGCCCCCTCTCATGTCCAACCATGTAAGAAAACGAACCTATTGTTATAGTCCTGATTATATTGAGATTGCACGTTGTGTGAATTGTGGCCATTGTATCCACCATAGCTTCCTCGCATCATTTTAATTTATCTGAAAACAACATATTGGATAATTGGTTCGATAATTGGCCTAAAATTTCTTCTTAAAAAAATCTTCCAATCTTTACTTAAATGGCCCAAAACATTAATATCAGTTAGCCTACTAAATTAATAGGGGTGGGTG